CAATCTTGCATCCCCAAAATAAATCCCACTTGGTCATGGTGTATAATCTTTTTAATGTATTGCTGAATTCGGTTTGCTAATATTTTGTCAAGGATTTTTGATCCGTTCATCGGGGATATTAGCCTATAATTTTCTTTTTGCAATGTGTTTGTGCATTTTTGAAATCTAGGTAATGCTGGACTCATAAAGTGAGCATGGGAGCTTTCCCTTCTCTTGAATTTTTTGAAATAGTTTGAGGATAGGTGTTAATTCTTTGAATGTTTGGTAAAATTCACATGTAAATCCCTTTGGACCTGGACTTTTGTTTGTTAGAAGTTTTTTGATTACTGATTTGATTTTGTTGGTAGTCATTGGATGGTTCAGATTTTTTATTTCTTCTTGAGTCCCTGTTGGAAGATTGTATATTTCTAGGAATTTATCCATTTCTTCTAGATTGTCTAATTTGTTGGCATATAATTGTTTGTAATATTTTCTTATAATCCTCTGTATTTCTGTGGTGTCAGTTGTGACTCCTCCTCTTTAACTTTTGATTTTGTGTCCTCACTTTTTTCTTGATAGTCTGGTTACAGGTTTATCAATCTTATTTATCTTTTTAGAGAACCAGCTCTTGGTTTCATTGGTCTTTTGTATTTTTTTAGACTCTACTTTATTTCTCCTGTAATCTCTATTTCTTTCCTTCTACTCACTTTGAGCTTTGTTTCTTGTTCTTCTTATAGTTCCTTTAGGATATATTATTTGTGATTGTCCTTGTTCCTTGAGGTAGGGCTGTATTGCTATGAATTTCCCTCTTAGGATTTTTGCTGTGTCCCACAAATTTTGGATAGTGTTTTCATTTTCATTTGTCTCACAAGGTATCTTTTGATTTCTTCCTTGATTTCATTGTTAACCCCTTTATTTTTTAGTAATATATTATTTAGCCTTGATGTGTTTGTGTCTTTTTCAGGTTTTTTTATTGTAATTGATTTCTAGTTTCATACAATTGTGGTCAAAGAAGATACTTAATATGATTCAGTCTTCTTAAATTTATTGAGACTTGTGTTGTGGCCCATCATGTGGCCTATCCTAGAAAATGTTCCATGTACACTTGAAAAAAAGTATGCTCTGCTTCTTTGGGGTGAAATGCTTAAAAAAAATTTAATTAAATCCATCTGGTCTAAAGTGTCATTTAAGGCTGTTACTGATTTTGTCTGCAAAATCTACCCATTGATGTCAATGGAGTGTTCAAGTTCCTACTATGACTGATGTTAATGGAGTGTTCAAGTCTCTAGGTTGGTTGCCTAAATGTTTTAAGGGTTAGATCTTCTTGTTGAATTGACCCCTTTATCATTGTGTAATGTTTTTTGTCTCTTTTATAGGCTTTGTTTTAAATTCTATTGTGTCTGATATAAATATTGCTACCCCAGCATATTTTGTTTCTATTTACATGAACTATTTTTTCCAATCCTTTGTATCTTTGTATCTGTGTATCTTTCAATTTGAAGTGGGTCTCTTGTAGACAGCATATGTATGGGTCTTGTTTTTTTTTTAATTCATTCAATTATCCCATGTCTTTTAATTGGAGCAATCTATTAACATTTAAAGTGATTATTGATTGGTATACATTTATTGCCATTTTATTATTCACATTTATATTCTTTTTCTCCCTTCTTCTTAAGGAAGACCCTTTAACAGTTCTTGTCATGTTGGTTTGGTGGTAATGAAATTCTTTAGCATTTTCTCATCTGAAAAGCTCTTTATCTCTCCTTCATTTTTACTTTTTATTATTTTATTTTTTAATCCCCACCAAGGATATGTTTTTATTGATTTTAGAAAGGAAGGAGGGGAGAGAAACATCAATATGAGAGAGAAAATTCCATTGATTGCCTCCCATATGCACCCCAACCAGGGATCAAACCTGCAATCTAGATATGTGCCCTGACTGGGAATCAAACCCACAACCTGTGGTGTATAAAATGATGCTCCAACCAACTGAGCCACCTGGCCAGGACTCTCCTTCATTTGTATTTTATTTTTTTAATGAAAAAAATGTGGGTTTTCCTTTTTAAAAAAAAAAATTAATTTTAGAAAAAGAGAAAAAAAGAGAGAGGGAGGAGAAACATCGATGTGAGTAACACCAATCAGCTGCATCCACATGTGCCCCAACTGAGGATTGAATTGCAACCCAAGTATGTGCCATGACCAGTAATCAAACCCACTACCTCTGGTGTATGGGATGACACTCCAATCAACCAGCCAGGGCTCTCCTTCATTTTTAAATATTAACCTTGCTGTGTAGAGAAGTCTTGGTTAGAGGTCCTTGCTTTTCATCACTTTGAATATCATGCCAATCCCTTTGGACTTGAAATGTTTTTGTTGAGAAATCAGCTGACAGTCTTATGGGAGCTCCCTTGAAGACCATTAACTATTTTTTTCTTGCTGCTTTTAAGAATTTCTCTTTGGTAGAGCATGAGACTCTTAATTACGATGTGTCTTGATGTGGGCCTCTGTAGGTTCATCTTATTTGGGACTCTGTGCTTTGTGGACTTACATATCTATTTTCTTCACCAATTTAGGAAAGCTTTCAGTCATTATTTCTCCAAACAGGTTCTCAATCCCTGGCTCTCATTTCTCTTCTCCTTCCAGCACCCCTATAATGCCTATGTTGTTATGATTGACGTTGTCCCAGAGGACCCCTAAATTATTGCCTGTTTTAAATCCTCCTTTTCTTTTTGCTGTTCTGATTGGGTATTTTCTGCTACCTTGTCTTCCAAATCACCGATTCTGTCCTCTGCTTCATCTGCTGTTGATTCCTTCTAGGATATTCTTCACTTCAGTTTTGTATTCTCCATTTCTGATTGGTTTTATTTATGGTTTCCATATCCCCTTTTTAATGCTTACTATGTCTTTGCTGAAGTGCTAAGCTCCTTGAGCATCCTTGTAACCAGTGTTTTTAAGTGATCTTTATATCTATAATAATAAAAGCATAATATGCTAATTAGACCAGGCACCCAAACAACCTTCCAGAGGACCTTCCAGACAAAGCCAGGTCTGCAAGGGCCGAGGCAAGCTGCCGCGGCTGCAATGGCTGAGCCCCTTGCACAAATTTCATGCATCAGGCTTCTAGTATATATATTATTGATTTCAAAGAGGGAGAAGGAGAGAAATAGAAACATCAATGATAAGAGAGAATCACTGATTTGCTGCCTCCTGCAGATCCCCCACTGGGGATTGAGCCCACAACCCAGGCATGTGGCCTTGACTGGAATTGAACCCAGGGCCCTTCAGTTCACAGGCCGATGCTCTATCCACTAAGCCAAACCAGCTAGGGTGTAACCAGTGTTTTGAACTTCGTATCTGGTAGATTGCTTGTCTCCATTTTATTTAGTTCTTTTTGGAGATTTCTCCTTTTATTTGGGATGTTTCCTTGTCTCCCCATTTTGACTACCTCTGTGTGTTTGTTTCTATGCATTAGATAAATCTGCTATGTCTCCCAGTCCTGGCAGGGAGGCCTTATGGAGTAGGTGTCCTGTGGGACCCAGTGGCATGTTCTCCCTGGTCACCTGAGCCAGGTGCCCCAGGGATATCCCTTATGTGGGTTAATTTTTTTTATTTTTTATTTCAGAGAGGGAGAGAGAAATAGAAACATCAATGATGGAAGAAAATCATTGATCGCCTGCCTCCTGCACACACATTCTCTCCCCCCCACCCCCTCCCCGCCACTGGGGATTGAGCCTGCAACCTGGGCTCAATGTGCCCTTGATTGGAATCAAACCCAGGACCCTTCAGTCCATAGGCCGACACTCTACCCACTTAGCCAAACCAGCCAGGGCTGCCCCCTTTTTTAGTTGAGTCTTGTTGTTGGAACATCAGCAGATGGGTTTGACCCTCAGGCGGACTCATTTTGAGAAATGCCTACAACCAACAATATATGAGCTTCTGTGCAGGTGCTGACCCATGGATCAGGAATCGCCCCAGTCGCTTGTGGTATGTCGCTTATGGAGCTAATTGGGTGGTGCTCTGTTTTGGTCTAAAACCAGCTGCAAGGTGTGTTGGTTTGGGGCTGCTTGGGAGACTGGTGCAGGCCTGGATGAGCAGCTGCCTGTGACTGAGGTGGGGCCACCTGGTAGGAGCTACAAAGTGATCCATGGTTGTAACTGCTTGTTCTGGGCCTGGATGCATGTGAGAGGGTCATGCTGCTAACTACGGCCACTACCACCAATACTGAGCCTGGGGTAGGTGAGCAAAAGTCACGGGCACTCCACGTCTGCCATTGCCTGTCGATTCCCTTTAAGGCTCAGCCATTGAAGGATCCTTGGCAAGTTGGGTAGGCAGGGTCCCAGGGAGTCACCAGGGTGGGGTGAATGTTGTTCATCAGCTTAATGCTTAGATTTGGCACTAGTACTGAGACTGAGGTCCCTCAGCGTAAGTCTCAGGGTACACCGAGGCCAGCTGCCACCCGCCTCAGGCCTGTGGATTTCTGCAGTGTGGCAGAGCCTCAGGGAGTCATCAAGATGGAGCTAGTGAAGTTTACCAGGCTAATGTAGATCCAGATCTGGCTGTGTGGAGGGAGGGCTTAACACGGGCAATGGCAGATATCCCTCCAGCCCTTACCCTGAAGCCACACAACTCAGTTTCTCTATATATGTCCCTGGTGGCCCCCGAGTTGCTGGCCCTGTGCCCTAATGCAGGGTGAATGCCTGTAAGCTAGAGTCTGTTCAAGCATCCTTTAAGAGGATGCCAGGGGTTTCTAGCATCCTCCATCCCAACTGGACAGATGGAATCCCCACTGGTTTTCACAGCCAGATGTTTTGGGGACTCTCTTCCCGGCACTGGTGTTCCAGGCTAGGCAGTGGAGCTGAGACTCCTTGCTCTTACAGGGGACCTTTGAAACTGAGACAGCCCTCTGTTTTCCTCAAATGCCATGTGTGGGAGTGGGGCCAGCCCATTCTGAGTCTCCACCCCTTTTAACATTCTTGATGTGACTTCTTTATAATCTTAGTTATAGGACTTCTGTGCGGCTAGTCTGCAGATAGTTCTCTAGGTTGGTTGCTCTATAATTTAATTGTAATTTTTATGTGGTCACGGCAGGAGGTGAATACAGTATCCATCGACTCAGCCATCTTCACCAGAATTCCCTGAAATAACTTCTTTTTTGTCTGTAAGAAAAAAAGCCTTCTCAATATAGATACTGGATTTTCATATAATTTTAATTATCATTCTATTTTTAAATTTGAGTCTATATTTTTTCTCATTTAACAAATTCTTGCCTATTAAAGTCACATTGCATAGAATAGAGAGATGTATAGAAGCACTCTTCCACATATCTATATCATTACAGCGTCATGACCAAACGAGCAACGACTCTCACGGCGGGTGGGGCGGGGCACCGGCAGCGTCTGTGGAGTGTGCGAGGTGTCTCGGGGTGGCGGACATGGCCCTGATGGCAGGCTAGGCCTATGGGGCCCTACACATGCACAATTTAATTGTGCACTGGGCCTCTAATACATTAATATAATGTACATTTATACTTATATTTTCAAATTATGTATTTTATATATGTATATGTCTATATTTATTTTAAAATATTTTTTATTAATTTCAGAAAGGACGGGAGAGATATATATAAAAACATCAATGATGAGAGAGAATCATTGATTAGCTGCCTCTTGCATGCCTCACACTGGGGATCAAGCCCACAACCCGGGCACGTGCCCTAATTGGGAATCGAACTGAGAACTCCTGGTTCTTAGGTAGACGCTCAATGACTGAGCCACGCCAGCCAGGATATGTCAATATTTATATAGATATGTAGAAAAGACAAACCTACCACCCACTGGCAGGACTAATCTCAAGCTTCAATGTTTCCTTCATGTAATGAACCTGGTTGGATTTAATTACAGAGCCACCAGCTCAGGGTGCCCGATGGTCATTACCATTGCTGCTACTAAATGCATCACTTACATCTCCTTCTGGTTTTCGATATGGTAAGGTGTTCTTCCCACCTTTTTTCTTATAGCACTGAGCAGTGCCCCTCAATATCAGGTATGATACAATGGGGGTCAGGGGCAGGCTGGACTCTGCTGCCCCTATGTGTTCAGCTAAGAACTGTAGGAGGAGGAATGGTCTGTCCCGAAGAAGCTGCCGAGTTCCAAGAAGCCTGCATTAATGTTGCTTCTTTTTGAGAACAAGGACGGAGTATTAGATCACCATTGTCAGCCACTTAGAGACTTTGTTAAAAGTCTGAAGAAAGTTGGAAATTCTCTCACTCTGCTTTAAGGGATGGCAGGGTACATCAGGCTGATTGGTTGAAGATTCCATTTCTCGGAGAGCCAAAACTGTCATCAAGTCTCGGGTTGGTGATGTAGGGGTTAGCACATACGATTCCATTATAGGCCTGTTGTCTAATAGTTAACAGTCCCTACATCCTAACAGGCAAAAGGCTTGGCTCGCTCACACCCTCAGGACCTTCTAGACCAGCGGTTCTCAACCTGTGGGTCGCGACCCCTTTGGGGTTCAAACGACCCTTTCACAGGGGTTGCCTAAGACCATTGGAAAACACATATATAATTACATATTGTTTTGTGATTAATCATTATGCTTTAATTATGTTCAATTTGTAACAATGAAATTGGGGGTCACCACAACATGAGGAACTGAATTAAAGGGTCGTGGCATTAGGAAGGTTGAGAACCACTGTTCTAGACACTGTAACAAGAATTTTTAAACTGACCTATAACATGTAGACACAACCCTTGGGATAGGCCACGTGTGCTCACCATTTTTGAAACATTAATTCTTTTACATTCTCCAGGACCTCAGAGAGGGTATGTTTTTATTATTGCCACATGTCAAATGGGCATACTAAGGCAAAACAACATGCTCTTACACCTGTAAAGTACACTACTAACACCTCACAACTTCTGTGGACCGGGCATCTGGGCACGGTTGGGCTGGGTGCCTCTGCCCCAAGGTCTCTGTGAAGCAGGAAGTATGTTTTCACTGAGGCTGAACTAGGAACACATTTCCCCCCAAGGTCACTCGCCTGGTTTGTGTCAGGATGCAGGTTAGCCTGAGGAGAGCTCTAGCTCCTGCCTGTTGGCCTGGGCACTTCCTCAGTTCTCTCCAATAAGGTCTCTACATAGGGCAGCTCAAAACATGGGTGCTTGCTCTCCTACTTCTACGGATAAGACAGACAGACAGACAGACAGGCAGACAAACACAGATATAAGTAGAGAAAATGAAATAGAGGCTTAGAGGAAGGAAGGAAACTCAAGAATGACAGAGGAGTGACAGGACATGACACCCCATCACCTGGGCTGTATTTTCAACTGTTCAGAAGCCAGTTCCTAAGCACTCAGCGGACGCACAGGATGTTCCCACCAGGAGGCAGGAATCACTAGAAGCCACTGTGAAGGCTCCCACCACATGGACTGACATGAGGCACTGGGTCTGATTCTAAGTTTAACAAGAGACCACTGGGAAGTTTTAGGTCAGTAAATGACAATATCTGAATTTCCTATCATTTTAACCCCTTCAAGGTACAGACATGAGGCCAAGATAGGCAGTGACTTCCCCAAGATCACACACTGCCCCCCCCCGGCATGTTTAGGTAGATGTTCCATGCTACAACCCACCCCTTCTTGTAATGCTTCCACTTCTATGTTTGTGTACCAGATTCATGGGACACCAGCCCACAGGCTGTGATAGAGGCATTATCTCATCCATACCTGATGAGGTCCTTAGGAAATGGTGTCTAGCATCACTCTCATTGTGCAGGTAGGGAGACTGGGGAGGCTCTGAGAGGCACAAAGGCTTCCCTAGGGCACAGAACTCATAAGAAAAAGGAGGTATGAACTCAGCTTTCTCCTCCAAGCTGGGGACCTGGGACATGCCCAGGGAACTGTGGGAAGGCTGTGTTAGGTATTGGTGCACATGTGTGGAGATGACATGGGCCAGGAGGGGCAACGGTCAACAGCCCAGGGGGGGCTTTTGGTCGCTCTGATTGGAGGAAGGGGCGCAGGTCATGGAACCTTGAAAGGGTGACCTCACTTCCTCGGTGACAGGTGACAGAATCCCAACAGAAAAGAGAAGTCTAGTTCACTTGACTGCAGACAGTCAGGAGAGGAGGATGTTTCTCTGTTGCTTCCCGACTTTGTGCCGAGGCTCTGGGCAGAAGAAAGCCCAGAGTGAGAGATGGACCACCTCTCACCTCTGGCAGGAGGCGCCCTCAGGTAACCAACGGCTGGCCCATCCCATGCCAGGCCCAACTGGGATCCTACAAGGCCAGCCCCAGCCTCTGACCCCTCATCCTACATACCTGTGTGTGTTGGGCCTGGTGAGGGAAAGTGGGGGATGAAGGGCACTCATCCTGGGCAGGAGCTGGTTGTTGGCGATTGGAAGCCTGGTGGGTCTATCATGTTCATACCCAACTCATAGCTGGTAGGATGGAAATATGAGCACTGGGTACCAAGCTCCTCACACACTTGTTAATCTTGAGCCCATCAGGTGTCATCTCATGCCTTCCCTGGAGGTCTTTGCAGATGCCCCTCTGTGCCTGATCTGGGGAGCAGAATTTGCGGTGGGCATCTCCCTAAGCTGGCAATGCCCAGGCAGGCCACCGGGATCTGTCTTTGTAGAGCTCCAACGAGGATGTCGTAGAGGAGCTGGTTGAGGCATTCAGTTATGCCGTCAACCGGTACAAAGAACAAGAACGCCAGGCCAGGAACACCATCCAGTGCCAGGCTGAGGTGAGAGCTGTCCCACAAACAGGACCTGGGATGACTGGGTGGGACCAGAACCCAGACTCAAATCTGAGGCCCACTCCCAAAGACATCTATACCTCCAATACTCCCATCCAGGTTCCAGGTAGGGTAGGAATACAGTCTTCACATATTTGTTGAAATGGTAGAGAGAAAAATTCTTGCTGTCTTTGCATTTGGCTCATTATGATTGTCTAACTACCTGCCCCAGGTATACTGTGGAGCAGTCAGCTCGACTGTCCTTGAATGACTTTTCCAACCCTTACATATCATCATACATGATAGGGTGGTTTGTACAAAAACACAAGAAAGGAAAAAGAAAAAAGCATGGGGAGGAATGAAGGTATTGGACACATTTCTCTGCAACCTGTCATCTCACAGAGCACGACAAACCATTGTATGCCAGCCAGGTCAGGAGCTGTGGCCTTATCCACCAGCATTTTGGTGCTGTTGGACCTTGCATGATTCAATCCTGTCAGTTCAACAGGGCTGCCAGGAATATCCTCACTGTGTCCTAACAGAATGTATCAGTTTGCTAGGTCTGCCATAACAGGGGACCACAGATGGAAGGTTCCGGATGCCTACTGGCTCAATACCCAGCTCTATTTTTGCAGAACTCCAATGAGGATATCATTGAGGAGGTGGTCCATGGGCCCCACTATACCATCTGCCGGGTCAGGGTGCAGGTGCACCAGGCCAACAACAGCAGCCAGTGCTGGTCTGAGGTGAGAATTGGCCTCGGGGGGTCTCCACACCCCAGAACCCAAGATGACCAGGGAGGGTCAAGAACCCAGACTCAAATCTGGGGACTCCTCCGGGTGTTCCCACTAGAGTGTCCACAGGTTTATGTATAAAGGATTCTGGACCTCCACTTCTCCTTCCAGCTACATGGTAGGAGAGACTCTCCTCACATAGTTTAGGAATATTAGAAAAAAAAAGTATGTTGTTCCACTTCACAGTAGAACACGAGCACATTTGCATGTTGCTCTTTAGTGGTTTGAATTACCTGACCCTGGTATCCTGTGGAGTAGTCAGCACAACTGTCTTTAGAGACCTTCTCAGAGCTTTATACATCATCACACTTGATTGGGTGGTATGAACAAGAACTGGATACACTTCTGTGCAACTTGTCATCTCACAGAGCACAGCAAACCATTGCAGGCTGGCCACATCAGCAGTCATGACCTTCTGCATCTCCCTATCACCTCAGAAAGGACATAATTTTCCTCAGTGATTCAGCCTTTCAGTGCTGTTGGAACTTATGAACAATTCTGCTGCTAGTTCAGCAGGGCTGCCGGGAACATCCTCATTGAGTCCTAACAGACTGTCTGAGTTGCCAGGGCTGCTGTCAGATAGAACCGCAGATTGGGTGGAGGGTTCCTAATGCCTACTGGCCC